TAGGGTGCCCGGGTTTGGAGTGCTGTTGGACAGGAACCGCTTGACTGGCAGGCGATGGTATATCGTGATCGATTTCACTTCGAGTGCCATTCGCGTCATGGAGGGTAGTATTATGACCTAGTCAAACTGGAGACGGGACAATTGGCCATCATCTTCCATGGCGGAGATGATAGCACGTTGACAGTCACGCTCACCTGTATCTCGGACATGGCTTGGTGAGAGAATGCGGAGTATGCTGATGATGATATGGGGGTAGATTAGGTGGACGGCGGTGCTTATACGAGGCATATTGACATCAGCAACATGCCTTGGTAAGTGGTCACTGTGCATCATGGCATTCACTGGCACAGCCATTTGGACTATCACCATGAGGGAAACAATCGCATCACTTTGCAACTATCTTCATTGGCGACTTGCTTCCATTCCTGTTTTCCCATCTAAGATCCTTCTACCACATTCCTCATTCGAAGCATCATCAGCTCTGCTTATACCCCCTTCTCAGTCCTTCCTTCTGTTGTGCAAACTGTCTACTCATGTCCCTCAAAGTTGATGACAAAGTCTTCGTCGTACCGCATGTTGTCTCTCCCCTCCGTCCAGCGCTCAAGGCGCCAGCGCGTCAGGCGAAGCCTTGTTTGAACATCCTCCTTGTACTCCAAGCTCCGGCGCGTCCTCAAATACTTTCCAGGGGGGTTATCGACGGGGAACGAGTGGCGTCGCGGTGTCTGGACCGTCTCTTCATGTTCCTGGGCGGGTTCGCTATTTGCTCCAGTGAACTCTTCCAGATCGGTGCCGGCCTCGTTCCAGATGACTTCCGAGATGGGAGTGGCGTACTCTTCGCACCATCGGTCAAATCTGTCTGGTCCCCATTTGTGGCAAAGGGCGGAAACTAGTGCGGTCTGGTCGTGGTTCTCAACAGCCGAGGCTTTGCCGGTAGCGGTAGGCTTGTCGGTTTCCAAGTTGCTCACTTTGTTCTTGGTGGCCTCGTTCCGATGTACTTCATGCTCGGGACCCTTCTTCACCGTCTCTCCCTCATTCTCCCAGTCATAGAGCTCGTCTAAATGGTAGGTGATGTCATATCGACTGCTCGACGACTCTGGCTCAGGAGCAATGCTGTTCTTGTTCTGCTGGTTTACTTCCTCTTTGTCTTGCTCAACCAAGTCCTCAAAAATCTCGCTCGTCTCTTCACTCCATTTGGCAAGCTCCGAGGATGCCGTTGACTCGGGAGTCATCAAGAAGTAGTCCTCGCCATAGTTGTTTAGCCGACGTACGCGAGGAGTCTCAGTAGTGACAGGGGGGAGGAAGACCTGGTTGTCCTCCACTCTCATCGCCTCCTTCGCGGTTGGCAAATCGATAATCCACATAGTCGCTCTTCTGCGGGTGGCACTGCCCTTCTCTGCCCACTTGTTCAACCATTTCTCTTTTCCGCCGGGAGAAGAGGGGGCAAAGTTGGCCCTCTCGAAGTCCAACTCTGATACCAAGGGTTCGTGGAGGTTGAGGGTAAAAGCATCAAAGTCGTTCTGAGAGGGAATTTCGAGGAAAGATGATGTGGTCGCTTGATGGTGGTCAGTCTCGGGGTAGTTATTGAGGTCAGTGGGCGGATCAATGGGCTCAGTCACAAGAATACGCGGAATTTCCAGGGGCTTGTACTGCACGGTTGATGACTGGGAGACGTTGGAATCACGAAGTCTTTGACCACCAACTCGGAATTTCCGGACGGGAGCACCAGGGGAGGAACTGGCGATCTGTTGCACGGAACGGATCTTGAACTTCTTTGGTGTGGCGGCACGAGTGATCCCAATGTTGGGGATAGCCTCGCCGACAACCGAGCCAGTTGCCTCCTCAACAACACACTCTTGATGGCCATGCGTTGGCTGAAGAGCTGTTTCGATCTCGTTGTCAAAAGGAGGAAGGGTATTCAGATGGATGCTGCTCTCAAGGTGATTGTCCATACCCTCTAGCGCCTCATGGGGAAGATCAGATCCCGGCTGCCAGTTAGACGGGGAAGTAGGGGGCAGGCTGAGCTTGTCAAGCTGCTGCGAAAAGATATCTCCCTAAGATATCTGGGATTCCGCAGCGACAAACCCAATGAAAACCTCCTGGCAGTGCACTTTTGGACCGCGTTTCTCCTTACGTTGACGGTCGGCCTCGTAAGTCATGATATCCTTCCACTCGGCATCGGCAATCTGATCTTCATTCACCCCGTACTTGGCCATGAGATCAAAGACCGATTCTTCCTTGTGGCCGAGTGGCTGTTCATGTTGGTTAACGGTGGCAGTCCTAGCCTTTACGGCAACAGTAAAGATATGGATATCGTTATCCATGTTGACGGGATGCTGAAAGTCTTTTTGCTTCAGGCAGTCCTCTGTCTGTTGGGTGTGGAAGACATCGGTGGCTGCGGTCGACGAAGTCGAGTTTGACCAGTTGCTGTCAGTTGTTTGGGTGGAAACATTGGATGTGGTCGAGGACGTGGAGCTATTCATCACTCGTCAGCATGTGTGGCAGATGCATCTCACTGGACAGTTACGTACCTCGCAGAGTCGGTCCTGACATGGGTTCCCTTGTTCTTCGGCTCGTCGATGGGCTCATACTCAACGACCGTCTCAGCGGCAGTGATCGTGTAATTGGTGACCGTGTAATTGATGACTTGATCTTCAGGGACTTTCACTATGTCAACATTAGCTACTACTGGAAGCTCGGGGTGCTGATGGGACAACATACCTTGAGTAATGGAAGGCTCCAAGTCAGCGGTAGTGGTGATTGGAGTCATCGTGAGCTGGGTCGGGGCTGGGATCTCCGGAGTGGTTGCCTCGGTAGGCGCGATGGTTGCGACGACCATGACCGGAGTGAGGATGTTGCCATGGATAGACACTTTTGCTGCGCAATCGTCTTCGTCCTCTTGGATGGGGTCGGTTGCTGTACAAGCTTTCCAGATCATCATGGTCTGCTGCATCGGGAAGGGGGCGGCGACGAGGGCCTTGAGTGGCGCAAGACCGACGCTGGCGATGGCAGAGAGGGTCGACATCCTGTTTTTGACGTAGGGGATGGTCGGCAAGAAGGGCGATGAGCACGACATCTCGTTATGCGGAGAGTGTGCGTAAGGATTGTTGTCGTCTTGCATGCTTCGACGTCACGATGACGAGAAAGCGTATGGGCAGTTGGAGTTGTCCAGCTTGGGATGAGGATGTAAGAGGAAGAAAGCGAGCTTTCCAGGACCGGTGGAAAATATGCTCTTACACGCCCAAGCTCTCAGGCCGCCTGTCGACATCTGGTCATGGTCGTCGTGGTGATGGCGATAATGTTGGTGATATCTGCCACGGACCCATGGTGTTCACGGAACACCTGCTCTGGCCCAATCAGGAGGCGCGGAAGAAGTTTAAGGTTGGGACAAAAGACTGAACAGCTGGGGTAGGAAGGGTATCAGACGGAACAGTCCAACTGTTCGGCACCCATGGGTTGTTATTCGTACAACAGAACCTTGGACACTACTTACCAACAATCGCAGTGCTTGTTGCCTGTCACTTTCTAGTTACGTCGTCCGAACCGTGACCTTCACTAGTCTCTCCCCAGCTGCCTGTTCACCGAACAGCAACGTTTGCAATACAAACAAACAAAAGGGAGTTTCTGTTAAGCTAGAAGACGAAGGATGCTCTCAAGTCGGCAAAGGAGACACTGCCCGAGAGTCTGGAGCAGTCTACCAGTCACCGGGCAAGAACCACAAGCACAGGAAGTCAAGTTTTATGTGAACAATGTCAAATTCGAAACTTTCCCCTCCTCCAAGGATGCCAAACTCGCCGAGGGCACAAAGCGCTTCCCGACACAAAGAGTGTGTTCCTTCAGTGTATTTACAAGATCATCCCCGGCTCCCGTATGTTCTCATCCCTTCATTATTCATCCTGAGCCCAGTCCTTTTGATCCTCACTCCTTTCCAGCAGTCAACTATTACAGCACTTAGTACCAGGTGGGATCCTCGCCCTTCTCAATGGCCTCGGCAACGAGAGCCTCATAGGTAGCGAGAGCGGCCTCGTACTCAGCAGCAGCGGAGGAGTCGCCGGCAACACGGCCGAAGGCGCGGACGGCAAGGTAGTAAACCTGGGCAAGGGCCTTGCAGGTGGCTCCGTAGCCGTTGTTCGTGCACTGGAAGACGAGGCTGTTATGTGTTAGTGACAAAATAACTGCTGGGTAGGTATGTAGACAAAAACGGAAGTGAACAAAATACTCACTCATCCTTAAAGTTCTGATCAATCTTCTTCTTGTTGGCATCGCTGAAGCGGTCCTGGTTCTTGTAGTTGCGGTAGCCAAAGTCGTGGCGGTGGCAAGCAGGAGTGAAGGGGTAGCCGTTCGGGTTGTCGGGGGACTTGGAGCAGCCGTCGGAGGTCCAGATGAGGGTGGAGGGGTTCTTGGCCTTGCGGTAGCTGGTGAATTTAGGAAGAGTGATGGAGAAGAGGTACTTGTCGGTGGTCTCCTTCTTGGTGGCGCGAGCCTCGATCACGTCGGAGCGAGCCTCGGGGGCAGAGGGGAGGGCCGAAACGGCGGGAAGGAAGGCGATGAGGGTAGAGAACTTCATTTTGAAGGATGATTGTCTAAAAGACTGGTTGTTGTTGAGGTCTTGACGAGGACTGGACTGGAGATGAGAAGATGAGAGTGGGATGCAGAAGAGAAGGACTGGGAGGTTGAAGGGCGGATGGTCAGACTTTTATACACGATTTCGAGGTATGTTCGCTTGACCTTTTCGCCATCTTGGTGTTGTTGATTTGACATGATCTCGGTGTAGTCCGTTGCCTGCCGGGCGTTTACCAGAATGAAGTCGTCCTCAGTCTAGAGGCTCTAGAGCCGTCTTGACACTGCTACCTACCTGAATTGGAACTCTTTTCCACGCGCCAACGTCTCATTTCCCCATTGGTGTATGCACTCCACGTTTGTCAGGCCCATGGTGGTTGTTACTGAACGTTGAGACTCGAGTGGCCGATCGGCAGTTCCCGTCTTCAGTTGTCTGCAGATGACCCCTGGACCAGACCACACCAGGGATACATCCAGGCAGACTATTCACGGCTGAAAAGAGATCTACAAGAAATTAGCACCAATTGGGCTTCTGGACCACGCTACAACTATGCCGAGTGTACGCTTTTTCCTGATGAAGACTTGGCTTCAGGTTGCTGATGTTCATGTCCGGTTTGGAAGTGGTTCTCTCGAGCTGGGAACTCCGAAGTCATGAGATGTAGTCCCAATAAAGACATTCTGCACGGCGATCATGTACACAAGCTACAAGGTCATACTTCGATACCTGTATGTTGTATCATGGGCATGACCACCTCGTGGTAGAGTTGAAGTGGTGCAACTGACACAGTAGCGTTTGGGAGGACGGAATAACCGATGGCAGCTGGGTTTCTACCGTACCACTAGCGAGTACCACATTGTTTATCATGATCAACACCTGTCGATGTATCCCCAACCACTTAGAAAGAAAAGATGCACCATTGGATCAAAATGAGGGCGCTAACTTGACAGGCTCGGTTGGATTCTTGGTCCTTTTGCCCGCTGTCTCTAGACTTTGCAAGTTCGCGCTCGGTGCTTACTCCGAGCCAAGAAGCCGGCCCGTAACGCCCGTTGCGGGATCGAAAGACAAAACTTTTGTTCGATGGAGTCCAGTCTTAATATCACGACCAACCGGTAGCATTCCCTCATAGATATGGTTTGGCATATCGAAGCATGGCGCCGCATCCCCTGAAGTCGCGGCTAGCATGGTGTGCGGAAGAGGTTTGCCGGCGCTTGGTATGGGGACTTCTAGGCTTGTTTAGGCAGGTCAAAAGCCACCGAAGCGGATCCCACGAGCCCTGGAGAGATCCCCCGTCCTGTCAGATCTTTCTCACGATTGAGTTTAGCGCACGCTCGCGCTAAGGTTCGGAACGCAACCCACCCTAATCATGACATCCAACGTTCAGCTACGACAGGAAAGAGACAAAAGTGTAGTGTTACATGGTGTTGAAACAACGAACTTCACTGGCAAATAACTGTTTCCCTTCGATATCCGCATCTAGTACAAGATCCGTTAATATTGACTTGGCGAGAGGGGAACAGTTAAAAGGAAAGCTGAGAACGAGACGTATCTGCCAAGGAGTTGCTTACCTGCACCCTGTAGGCCACCTTTGGTGAAGTTGCATCGTGTTTGGCCAAGGACAAATGGACGAGTCGATGTATTATTGTCTGCAAAGATGTACGTAAAATGATTCAATGAAAGAGATTGCTGTGGCAAATATTGCTGAAGTCGAGGCGGAGTTATTTGAAAACATCAGTGAGTTGTGGACGAAGAAGGAATGTCGTCGTGAACATCCGGGGAAGTGTCGTGCAAAACCCTAACCCGAATCTCTGAGCACGGCGGTGGAGATGACGTAAAGACAGGATTCGGCCAATCACCGCTCGTGCCTGGATGTCAAACGGGGTGAATGCGGGGAAATGCATGATTCTCATGACAACGACAGGTCTTCCCTTTTCTCACAAAAGCATCACCACCACCGTCACCACACCTGACCCGTACCATATCCTGTCCGCACTCGCTTAATCCATGCCACCCGTCCAAGCCGCCTCGACGTTGTATGGCTACCACACTTCTCCATAATCCAGCTGGAGCACAGTTCAACCGACAACCGCCGACAAACACTGTCCGACAAGGGAATCGGAGTCTTGGGTGGGGGGTCATCGGATAACCTTTTACACTTTTGTTTTGACTTTTCTTGACTTTCACTCAAGCTCATTTGACACCCTCATTGCAACCTCACCTCCCACACTTCTCCGCCTGCACTGTATCATCATGGCCAACCAACGCCCAAACCAAGCCGCCAAACTTGACGACTATTACGATCTCGGTTCTCATCACCGGCCCATATCCACTGCCAAGGTGGAAGCTCAGCTCTGGTTCGATCGTGGCCTCATCTGGAGCTTCGGCTTCAACCACGAAGAGTCCGTCAAGTGCTTTGAGCGCGCCGTTGCTGCTGATCCAGATTGCGCCATCGCCTATTGGGGCATCGCATACTCCCTAGGCCCCAACTATAACAAGCCATGGAGCGTGTTTGATGAGGAGGAGCTCCAACAGACCATCGATCGGGCATGGGAAGTCCTCGAGCTGGCAAGACAGAAGGCAGCTGGGCCTGGGTCAACGTGTACTCCCGCAGAACATGCTCTCATCGATGCTCTTCAGTACCGATATCCCAAGAGAGCGGCAAAGCCAAAGAAGGGCTCAGCGTTGGACCACGGCTACGCCCAAGCCATGGCAAAAGTCTACCGCCAGTTCTCGTCTGACCTGGACGTTGCCGCCCTCTACGCCGACGCCCTGATGAACCTCACCCCTTGGAGGCTCTGGGATCAGGTGACGGGGGAACCCGCCAAGGGAGCCCAGACTCTAGAGGCGAAGCGCGTTCTCGAACAGAGTTTGGCCCAGGACCCGTACCACCCAGGCCTGCTCCACCTGTACATCCATCTCATGGAGATGTCAAGCCACCCCGAGGTAGCACTCCGTCTGGCAGACAACCTGCGCGGTCTTGTCCCGGATGCCGGCCATCTCAACCATATGCCCACCCATCTTGATGTGATCTGTGGGGACTACAGACGGGCGATATCATCCAACTCGCAGGCCATTGTATCTGACGAGAAGTGGGTGAGGAAAGAAGGCCGTGATGGAGCTCTCAACTTTTACGCTCTTTACCGATGCCACAACTACCACTTCCGCATCTACGCCGCCATGTTTGCCGGCCAGTACAAGGTGGCACTGGAAACCGCCTCGCAACTGGAGGCGGCACTCCCCGAAAGTTTGCTAAGGGTCAAGTCGCCCCCCATGGCCGACTGGCTCGAAGGCTTCTTGGCCATGCGCGTGCATGTTCTAGTCCGATTCGGGAGATGGCAGGACATTGTCGCCCTGGTCCCGCCACAAGACGCAGAGCTCTACTGCACCACCGCTGCCATGATCCATTACGCCAAGGGTGTAGCGCTTGCCAATACGAACCGCCTCGAAGAAGCCGAACGCCATCGGGAGCTGTTCTCGGAAGCCGTCAAGAGAGTTCCGCCTTCAAGGACTGTATTCAACAACACTTGTCGGGATATTCTGGCTGTCGCTGCTGCCATGTTGGATGGTGAGCTGGAATTCCGCAAAGGCAATGTCGAGCTGGGATATGAGCGCTTGAGAGATGCCATCAAGTTGGATGATAACCTACCGTATGATGAGCCATGGGGTTGGATGCAACCGACCAGGCATGCTTATGGCGCTCTCCTTTTGGAGCAAGGACGAGTGGAAGAGGCCGCGGCGGTGTATCGCGCTGATCTTGGACTGGATGATACCCTTCCGAGGTCACTTCAACATCGAAATAATGTTTGGGCGTTGCATGGGTATCATGAGTGTTTGGTCAGGTTGGGGAGAAAGGATGAAGCACGACTGCTGCAGAATCAGTTGGAGTTGGCTGTTGCTTATGCGGATGTTCCCATTCGGTCATCCTGTTTCCTGTCGAAGTCGTCTTTAGTGTCGAAGGTCATGAAAGATGTTTAGTGAACGCAACGTTTTGTACTGAAGCAAGAGCTATAGGAGCGAACAAAGCAGACCATGACAAAGGAAACAGGAGAGCCCAACATCCAGGTCCCATCTTTTCCAGTCCCTCAAACAGGTCTTGAGGGCTTCACCGTTCCAACATCACGCACTGTCTTCCTTGATCATGTCTGCCGCCTTCTCCGCCACCGCATACACAGTAGCCTGGAGATGTGCACTGATCTGCAACGGAAATACACTGGCATCAATAACCCTCAACCTCTTCACCCCATACACCTTCAACCTCTCATCCACCACACCCCCTTTGATCCCCTTTTCGCCTCCCATTGCAGATGTCCCAATAGGATGCCAGCATGTGACCGTGTTGTCTTGAACCCACTTCTGGAGATCAGCGTCGGTGGAAGTCTCCTCGGGATCAGGAGAGACCTGCTTGAGAAGGATCTTGGACAAGGGCTCGGTCTGGGTGGTTTTTTTCGGCATACTGAACACAGTGAGTCGTGGCTTCTAGGTCAATAAGACCACCGGGGCCGGTGTAGTATTGAAGGTCAATAATGGGGCGATCGTCCTCTTCTTCCGTCACATCGGTGGATGACGAACGAGGCCGGGTGTGGATCGACCCTCTGACCAAGGGATACTGCAGAATGATGGTCAAGCCGGCGTATCTTTTGCCACTGGACGGGGGCTCAGGTTGAAAAATGGAACTGGCGGCTGCCATCCAGAGGATGTACTCTATCTGTCCGACTTGCTCCTCACTGTTTGGGCCGAGCCGGCGGTTGAGGATAGATGCTTGCTCGGGTGGAATATTCTCGAGGTTTTTCATCCGGGCTTCGATATCCTGAAGGCCCGGACTTGGAATGGTGTGTGAGAAAGGGAGCTAGCAGTAGGATGTAATAGTCCTGGTCAAGGGGCCGGAAAGACTGCTTTGGTATAGCTGACGAGCGGCTTCTGCCACTTGAGGGTCATGTCTCAGTTCATCGTGGTTCGGGATGGTAGGGTCGACTTCGTATGTCATTACCAGCACTTGTGATGTCTTGTTAGTACATGGACTATTGACAATGGGCAGACAAGCTGACTTACTGGTGTGATCTTGCAGATTCTCTCCGACATTGGGACTATCCACCTTGAGAGGAATACTGCGGAAAGTATCACTTCACGCCGAGCCTTGACGCTATACTCCTTCCCATCGTGCTTGAATCGGACACCAGAAGCCATCCAACTCTTATCCTCCTTCATCAGAAGAATCTCTTGAACGTACGCCTTTGTCAAGATGTGCAAGTTCTACTGAGGGCTCTCGTGATTCTTGCAATAGTCGACTGAATACGAGCGAGTTCCGTTGTGGATGTTCACCGAGCCAATGCACGTCCAGGGTCCAACGTTGTTTCCGGCATTCTGGGACTTGTTCGTCTCGGCCCCAAGGGAGTTCAAGGTTGCGTGCCAATAAGCATGGGATAAGTTGTAATCTCTGTTGTAGGAAGCTGCGATGGGGCCAGATGTGCCAAGGTAGGAAGTGTCGTGAAGGGTGAAGGTCTCGTTCGAGGTTTCCTCTGGAGGCGGTTGGAATGTTTCCGAAATTTTGAAGTATGGTTTTTCCGAACCTGTCAGTATTTCTTTCACTTGATGATATAAAAGGGAAGACAAATAAGAGCGAGTCCCATCCCCAACCTGCATTTCCCAGCTCCTCCCACGCATCGTAGTCATGGCGGCTCGCGCGGTTGAAGACCATGAATTTCAGGGCACTTGATCCCCCAAGGACCCTCCACGAGGATAAGGGAGCTTTCTTCCGTTCAGACCTGGCTGTGGTTCTGTTTCAAACTTCCAATCATAGGAGGTCCCGAGTGCACGACCGAAGAAGGCCGGAAAGTCAACTTCATCAATGTCCAGAGCAGCCTCTCCTGCCTCCAGGACACCTACACTGACAGTTGAGTCTTCCGCCAGGCGTGATGCCACAGCAAGCCCAGCGGTGGCGCCACCCACGATGACATAGTCATAGGATTCCGCACAAAGGTCATCCGCGCTGCTGGAAAGCAAAGGAGGTATCGCTGTTTTGGTATCCATGGCGTCTATTATAGGGAACTCGAGAGAATGACTGGGAGAGCTTATGCTGAGAGGGGTTGAAGAGAAATGGACATGGGGTGCCGAATGAGACGTGAGCGGGGTAGTAGTACAAAACACAGCTTTGGAATCAGACGGCGGGTTGTATTCGAGCGGGTATGATCAGACAATGGGGAGGAACGTTGCACTACACAGTGACGAGACTATTGGAATGTGCACCTCGTTATCTTGCACTAGATCGTGAGTGCCTTCAAGACACATATGGTAAGCGAGCTGTCACTGCCACATGTTCAACCTCGCAGTTGTGACGAACCGTTACAAGCACAGGAGTATTATCGCTGGGATAGAAGAATAGAGTAACGGAGTAGTAGCCGAAAGGTACTGGTAGATTGTGGTAGCTATTGCTTGCTGAAGAGCCTTATAAACGAAGGCCGGGAGGCCTTCTTTTATACTGCTCTTCCCTGGACCCGGTGTACTGGACCCGAGGACCCGGGGACCCGAAGGCCCAAAGGCTTCGGGTCCAATCTGATTGGTCTATCTATCTAGCTAGCTTACATAACTTTGATTGGATCGTAACAGCAGTCACTAATACACACCTTGCAAAGCCTCCTATTCCTCACTCACTTTGCTCACAATAGCAGACAGAAACTGCTGCAATATAACCGTTGTATCACACCTAGGCTAGAGTCAGCATGAAGATAAAGATCCATAGAAACTGAAGATCCGTACCAAGAAGAAACATAGTCACGGTCAAGGCCATATAAGCCCTCGTTGCTCTGACATTTTGACCGGTGACCATGTTTGAGGTGGTCTTGACAGCCTGCTCGGATTTTGTCACACGGACATT